GATGACCTTCTTTTGTTAAGTACATGATATTCATACCCTATATAAACTTCAAGTCCGTATTTATTTTTATTTACGGGTCCATGTAAGAATGTGGTTAAGATCCACACATGGACTTCCCCTAACAACTCGAGTTATTGTGACCAATTAATTTATGACACGATAGCAGAGTTAGTTTGGTAATGAGGTCATGTGTTAAACTCTTTATACCCAAATATAAATAGTAGTTGATTTAAATTTCAAGCCAATGAAATAGTCTTTTAACCCTTGTTTTGCTGCACATCTTTTGTAGGGTATCAGTTATGCCAAACTTGCAAACCTGCCACCAATAATTGGACTATGTGAGTCTCTCACTCTAGCATTTCCCATTTAAATCCCCTTAAATCAATGTCTTAACCTCTAAAATTCTCTTCGTTTGGGACAGATTCAAGCTTTGTGCCACCAATGATCTATGCTGTCCTCGGAAGCTCCAGACACCTGGGGATCGGTCCAGTCTCTGTAGCATCTCTGATCATAGGTTCAGAGCTGAGCCAATCGGTCTCCCCTGACACACAAACCGAGCTGTATGTAAGCCTGGCTTTCACCACGACCCTTTTTGCCGGTTTGCTCCAAACTGGTTTAGGTATATTCAGGTAAACTAATTGTCTAATTTCACTAGCTAATTATATTAACTACTCCTTTGCATGATTGACTAATGAAGTAATGATGCTTAAGAAACAGGGGTTTTGGTAATTAAGGGTTAATGCATATGTTCTTTTCCTGGCTGATTGTGTCCTTAAATCATCAGGCTGGGTTTCATCATCGACTTTCTGTCAAAGGCAACCTTGACTGGGTTCATGGCTGGAGCGGCAGTCATTGTGATCCTCCAGCAGCTCAAGGGGCTCTTTGGGATCACACATTTCACCAAACAGATGCAGATCATCCCTGTTTTGAAATCCGTGATTCACGAGGAAAAAGAGGTGATCATCATATACATTTTGTAGTACTGAGTATGGGTCAGGTTGAGTAATATCGATCGAGTATCTCGATTTCCAGTCCCGCCGCTCTGTATCAAAAAGCGGGTCAATCCCAGTAATACTCGCAGGTAGTGGTACAAGTCGAGGCAGGTCGCGCGACCTATTCTCGTAAGGGAAAACACTTCACGTATGAAAAAAATAATGATAGTATAATAATGAGTAATTGAGTCTAAATAATTGAAAAAACCAAGGTTTCATGAAAAATATGATTGAAGAAAAATCAAAATAGGATAAACACAAATGCATATCGAAGAAAATTGAGATTTGGCGGGTGAAAAACGAGGCAGGCGCAACGAGACGAAACATGTTGAGAGTAATAAAACCCATGTCCCGCTTCACATTACTACGGATCAGGTAATACCCATGTCCCGGTATTGATCGGGTCTGACGTAATACTCAAACGGGACGGGCTGAAATTGCCATCCACCTAACGAATTATCTAATACAAAGAATATTCATTGAATGCAGTGGACATGGCAGACAGTGGTGATCTGTCTTTCTTTCTTAGCACTCCTATTGGTTGCAAGACAAGTTGTAAGTGATCAATCAAACTATCATTAGCCACTTAAATTAATTTCACTTATACCTTAACATAAACAACTAATGTTGTGGGTTGGCATGTTATAGAGTGCAAAGAAGCCAAAGCTCTTCTGGGTATCTGCACTAGCTCCATTAACTTCAGTCATCATCTCAACTCTCGTCGTCTTCATTCTCAGATCAAAGCTCCAAAAAGTCGCCACAGTAAGCATGAAAAAATACAGAGTACTCTGTTTCTCTCTGATGGATTTAGAAACCCTAAAGCTCTGTTTCAATCGTTGTCTGAAAACAGATAGGGAAGCTGCCTGAAGGAGTGAACCCATCTTCATTGCATAAGCTGTACTTCCATGGGCCTTACCTCTCTGTCGCCATTAAAACTGGCATCTTGGCTGGAGTTCTCTCCCTCACCGTGAGTAACATATGGAAATTGGAAAGCTTTCTTGTGTCTAGGGTTTGCTGTATATATATGGCTTGCAAGAAGCTTGAAGGCGTATGTTTTGCTCTACTCCTGGTTTCTGTAGGAAGGAATTGCAGTGGGAAGAACATGTGCCAGCATGAACAACTACCAGATTGATGGTAACAAGGAAATGATAGCAATTGGTGCCATGAATGTTTGTGGCTGCCTATGTTCTTGTTACGTGGTATCGGGTACGTTTTATGGATTTTTTAACGATTCGAGTAATTGGAAAAATTGATACGGGAGGTTCTTGACATGGTATACATAAAACCTTACGATTAAAAGATGGGCTATAGGTATAATATGACTTCTACTAATCAAGCATGTGTCGCTATTTTTTTTTTTACATCAAACATACTTTTTCTATTTATGAAAAAATATCAAGCATGCAGTTGTGATAAAAGTTTCTTAAAAAATCGGTCAATCGTGATCGAATTATGATTTGCACGACATAAATGTCTAAAATACCTCTAATATATTCACTTTAATGAAATTTAGAGAAATAATTGAATTGGCAAAATTGATATATTGTCCTCTCCATTTTGTTGAGGCCAAGTCTTCTGAGTCATGATTCAATCATAATTGACGTTTTTTTTTATAAAATATTTAACCGAATAACATGTTTAATAATTTTTCTCAAATGCAAAAAATATGTTTGGAGTATGTGCATAGTAGATGAGCGTATTATACTTATAACCCTTAAAATATCTATTCACAATTTGATGACCACGCACTCTAACATACATTGAGCATCAAGAATACGATGACCTTAGGCAAACAATTCACAAATCGACTTTCTTTTGAAGAAGTTGAGTTTGTAACAAAAAATTCGGTTGTTTTTTTCTCTTCTTCTTTCTTTCCTAACAAGGTGGATTTGCTCGGTCGGCGGTGAACTACAACGCCGGAGCCAAAACCGCATTCTCCAACGTCGTCATGGCACTCGCCATCCTCATAACCCTTCTGTTCCTCATGCCCTTGTTCTACTACACTCCCAACGCCGTCCTCGCCGCCATCATCACCTCCGCCGTCATCGGCTTCATCGACGTGAAAGCCGCCTACAATCTGTGGAAGCTCGACAAGCTCGATTTCCTCATCTCCATGTGCTCTTTCTTCGGCGTGCTCTTCATCTCCGTCCCCATCGGACTCGCAATCGCCGTATGTGTATATATGCTCATTTTCTTTCTTCATCGAAATTCATATAATAACTGATGTTTGAAATGTTTTCCATCGTCGATCAATCAGGTTGGGATTTCACTTTTGAAGATCATCCTCAACGTCTCCAGGCCCTTCACGTCGGAGCTCGGCAACATTCCGGGGACTCGAATCTACCGCAACCTCTCGTGTTACAACAACGCGCGTCGGGTTCCGGCTTTCCTGATTCTCACCATCGAGTCTCCGATCTACTTCGCGAATTCCATGTACCTCCAAGAAAGGTACGCGTGCGTATAGCCTTTTAATTATCGGCGCGCGTCGCGACACTCTAATTGACTGAGCTAATTAATATACGTGAACATGCAACCAAACAAAAAAAAAAATTCCTCCAGAATAATCAGGTGGATAAGGGAGGAGGAACAGAGGATTCAGGAGACGGGAGATGCCATCCTCAAATGTGTCATATTGGACATTACTGGTACTAATTGTTCTTAAAACAGGCATTAACTCGTCGATGAGTTAATCTCATAAATCTTATGCGTACTTAAGATGGGTTGTTTTGTGGATTTTTGTAGCGGTGACGAACATAGACAGCAGTGGGATCGAGATGTTGTACCAGTTGAAGAGAACCATGGACAGAAGTTTACTCCATGTAAGTAACATTGACACATCTCCTAGAACAATTTATCTAACAAGGTGATTTATTGGGGTTTAAAGAAAAAAAGATTGACCAAAATTTGAATTTTTTTCTTTCTTCTAATGTAGCTTGTGCTGGTGAATCCGGTGGCAATTGTTATGGAGAGGCTTCAGAATTCCAAGTTTCTTGCAACGTTCGACGCAAGAGGGCTTTATTTGACCATTGGAGAAGCTGTGTCTGATGTGTCTTCGTCATGGAGGAATTGAAACCCTTGCTAGTACAAAATATTGTACACTTCAATTTTGTAGACAATTATTATAGGGATTTTGGAGAAGTTGGAATATTAAAAATAAATTGTATTTTTGTAGTAATTGAGGAATAAAAAAATATTGGGAATTTTTGTTCAAGACTACAAGTGTTGGATTTATAATTAGGTTTAAGAATAAGAAGAAATACAAAGGGTGTAAACAGATTGTTATATTGTATAAGAGATTAAATTGGTGAGACTTCTTCTAGTTTAAAACATTATGAGGTACATAATAGAATTGTTATAGTTAAAATTGGATTGGTCACACTAATACCATGACGCTAATGTGTTAGTCTAGTGCCAATGTGAATGAGAACATCCGTCACATTATAAGTTTTAATTTTAGAGTCAACATCCACAAAAAAAAAATTGTGTAGTAATACAACAGTACTAAATTGTCATAAATTGATCACTATTACATAATTTCAATGACACGGTCTATCGATTGATATTGGTACGACGGTTTTAATAAACATTAGGAAAAAAGACATTTAAATATATATATATATATATATATATATATATATATTTTTTGGATGCATGTCTTAAAGGAAATTTTCCATTATTAACATTACAAAGAAATTACATAGATTGCAGATGGTGAGAATTATTGGGGTGAAAAGTTAGACGGTAATAAAATCACGAATACAATAGGAATTACAAGCGTAATTAAAGAAATTGGAAAGCAAATGACAATTCGAACACTTGAGTACATTTGTGTTGAGATTATCCCCCAATTGGGACCTCCCCTCCGCCGCCGCCGCCACCTACGCCGCCGCCGAATCCTCCCCCAACACCACCACCAAACCCGCCTCCAAAACCACCACCTCCGGCTCCTCCACCGCCCCCTATCCCACCACCACCGCCGAATCCACCGCCAGCTCCGCCACCAACTCCTCCCCCAAACCCTCCCCCAGCCCCGCCGCCACCGCCAATCCCTCCCCCACCACCGCCACCCAAGCCTCCACCACCACCGCCTCCTACCCCTCCGCCGGCTCCTCCACCTACACCACCACCGCCTCCTATCCCTCCGCCGGCTCCACCGCCTACACCGCCACCAGCTCCACCGCCACCGCCTATGCCCCCACCAGCACCGCCGCCGCTGCCTATCCCACCACCACCTCCGCCTATCCCTCCACCGGCGCCACCGCCTCCGCCTACGCCTCCACCGGCTCCTCCGCCCACCCCTCCACCAGCCCCACCTCCTACTCCTCCACCAACACCGCCGCCACCGCCGCCGCCTATGCCTCCACCAACTCCTCCTCCGTGGTGGCCACCACCGCCAATTCCTTTGCCAAACCCATGGCCGCCGCCACCGTGATGGCCCTTAAAAATAGGATGCTCCTTCTTCTTCTTCTTTTTCAGGTGGTGTCCTTCACCACCACCTTTGCCAACACAATCAGGCTCCTTATAATTATAACCATCCTCTCCTTTCACCATCAACAACTTCCTGCCCTCAACCACACCACCACCACCACCGCAACTCCCCAGCAAAACCACCAACAGCCAGCTCAGTCCCCAACTCAACCTCACCACAACTCTCCCCGCCATCACCATTCTTATACTATGAATTTTTCTCTCTCGATCACTAGCTGCACACATTCTCTCAATTCAGCCCCATATGATACCTATTTATAGTAAGCCAAATATATATAGTTATATACCTAGCTGTTGCCCTACTAATGGCGTGCAACTTGGCTGGCTCACTTCATTAATCAATATCTCGTTCTTTTTAGCGCAAAAACGGTTTCAACTGAAAGGGCTATTTTTCTGCAAGTTGCATGCATGCATGCAGAGTAGACAGTAAGGAACACATGCAAAAGCAGTAACGACGACAGATATCCAGATCGATTCACGTCCCGTTCTCCGTGACATATATATACTACTTGCACCACTAGCTAGGTAGAGGGGAAAAAAGAGATGTACGTAATTGCATTCACGCCGCCACCGCTGTTTTCCCCCATCCAACTTCAAAAGCGTTCAGTAGCTTTCGCTCTGTCTTATTCAATGTCCCCTCGTGCAGTGATGTGGGAAAAGTTAAAAACAGTGAGCAAAAGTTTACAATATAAAAATGGTAAATTCATCTATAACAACAACTGGCCTATTAGCTCAGCTGGTTAGAGCGTCGTGCTAATAACGCGAAGGTCACAGGTTCGAGACCTGTATGGGCCAATCTTTTTTTTTTAATTTATTTCGGTTTTTCCTGCTTTGCACACTGGGGCCTGGGCTACGATACGAGCGAGAGGCCGCGTTGGGCTATTATTGCACATGGACTTTTCGGGCTTTCACTGTATGGGCCAGTCGGCCCAATTAAAAACGATTGGCCCATCTTCCAAACTTCGACGAAAGGGAATAAGGGAAAAAAGAAAGAAAACGAATCTACCGGTGGGCGTGCACCTGGCGCACTCTCAGGCTTCGTTCTCTCTCTCTCTCTCTCTCTCTCTCTCTCTCAAGTCTCAATCAAAATCCACTCTCTTTCTCTCCAGCTTCTGATAAACCCTAGAAAATTTGGGGATTCCTTCTCCCTTTAGCTCTACCGAAATTCCCACTTAGAAAAATTACTCTTCCCAATTCAATTGGTGATCGGTTCTTTCAGCTGAGTTGATTTTTTTTTTTTAAAAAAACCCATGGACGATACCGAAGATGATGCTAGGTATCCACCGAAAGCATACCCCCACAATCGAGCAAAGAAGTCGCCTTTATACTCCCACCGTCCGGCAGCCACTTACTACAACCGCCGGGATTACGTCGAGGACGAGGAGGACGACGATTTCGAGGACGAGAACGGCGTCGCGTACTCCGACGACGACGACGACGACACCGGCGCCAACGATTTCGAGCAGAACGAGGAGTACGGGAGGTACCCCAAGAGGCAGAAGCTCAAGAAGTCGGCCCCCAATTACGAATTCGTGGCGCGGGCCCCGAGAACGACGAGCATTCACAATCATAACCACAACCACGGCGGGGAAGCCGATTTCGCGGTGGAAGGGTGGAGCGAGCAGGAAAAGTTCGTTCTTTTGGAGGTTTGGGGCGAGAGGTTTCTGCAGTTGGGCAGGAACAGCTTGAGGTCGACGGACTGGACCGAGGTCGCTGCGAAGGTTTCCGAGGCGTTGAAGATCCAGAGGAATGAAGCTCAGTGCAGGCAGATGATGGATTCTCTGAAGAGGAGGTACAGGAAGGAGAAGGGCAAAGGTGGGTTGAATTCTAAATGGGCGTTTTATAGGAAGATGGATATGCTGATGAGGCAAGAGAATGGACATGTAGGGAGTAGTAGTGGTGGGTTTAGTTTGTCTTGTGGTGTGGATTCAGGGCAGTATGTTTTTACGGATACTGGAGTGTATTTGGAACGTGCCAACATGAATGATGAGATGAGGGACAGTCCGTGTGAATCCGACGAGGAAGATGAAGATGATGAGGAAGAAGAGGATGCGGGGGAGCTTAGTGGTGATATGTTCAAAGGTCTGACTGTGTTGGCGGATTCGGTTCATAAGTTCGGTGAGATATATGAGAAGATAGAGAGCAGTAAGAGGGAACAGATGTTGGAATTGGAGAGAATGCGGGTTGATTTCCAGAGGGAATTGGAGTTGCAGAAGAGGCAAATCTTGGAGAGGGCACAGAGTGAGATTGCTAAAATCAGAGAAAGGGAAGAAGAGGAGGAAGATGATGATGATGAGGATAGTGATACGGGTTCTGATGGTGATGATGGTGGTGGTGGTGACAATGAAGATGGGGTGGAGACGGAAGGGGACACTGACAGTGGCGGCAATGATTCGGGTGTGAATGTCAGCGAATAATGTGAGTAATATTACTGGTTATGGCTGTTGAGAATGTTGTATAATTGCACCTAGTTTTAGACTTTATTGCTGAGAAATCTGGAGATGCTTGTGGCTCTTAGCCTAGCTTTTCTTTTTATGCTGTATTGGAGGAAGAGCTTCTCGTTGCAGTTTTTTGTGATATTCTTATGCAGTGATAAAATTCGTGTTCATTTTAAATTAATGAAAGAATATTGATTTTGCCACTGGAGGTGGTTAATTGACTTGAGTCTGTGCAATATGATGTGAAGATCATAGTTAGGAACTGAAAGGAGCATAGAAAACGCGAGAACTGGTATGAAACACATTGGTTGAGCAGCACGCTTTTATCAATATAGATGATGGAGCTTGATTGTTTAAATTAAAAATCCAGTCGAGACTTGAATGCTTGTTGGACTGTCGGTTGTTAGCTGTACTCGAGTATGAAACTGGTGTCAACTGCATTCATAAAATCCAGCTTGATGTATGAATACTTCCTATTACCTTATAGCTTTCTTAAGTTGTGCTAACAGTGTTCCCAGGCCCCAGCTGTTCGATAATTGACACTCTGTGTGTTCGATAATGACTGAGTCTTACATTTAATCCATAAATACCCACATTCTCTTGCTCTGAAGATTTGATGATATGTGTGTTAGTAATTGTAAAGCAACTGCAGTTTTCTGTGGAGATTTGATCTTTTACAACCTTCACAATAACACCACTTTAACCAGTACCCAGGCTTTAGGACCTACATTCTGGTGGTATATAATGTGCTACTATTAGTCTGTGTAATGAAGTGATTACAACCTTGCAACCTTGTGAATGGTTTTGTTTGGTCCATCATATTCTTTCAACGACTTTCTGAATAACGTTGTAGCTCATATTGCATTTGCTACTAAACAGGGCAATCCAAGGGTGTTCGCCTTCCGACTGTGGATGCTCGATAGAGATGCGAGCGGAGTCCTGAACTGGCAGTCTTTTGAAGAAAAAACATGCTCTTCTACCTTGAAATGCCAACAAGTACCTCAATCCTAAGAAGCAAACACAGCTATGGTGTACCATGTATTCGATCGGAGGAATGGAGATTGCATGGCTTTCCACGCTCTTGATTTGATGGGAAGTTCTGCAATGACCAGCATCCAAAAATAGCTAAATTTGACTCTACTGCTGCTGCTCTTTGTATCATTTTTTGTACTTCTCACGAGCCCTGTTTCAATGTTATTTGTTGTGCATGTATCGAATTACTAATTATTTGCAGTCTAAAAGCCCACATGGAATCATGGACTCGTGGTCCTAGGCTTTCGGAACATAAAAAGAACTAGCTAGAATTGCTTGCAAATTGCAGTGAAAGAATCAGACTTCATTATCTTCGTACTGAGATGCCCATAATTTGCATGCAAGGTAGCACATAACATTCATCACTGTGTCCAAAACCAGCATGAAACAATACAGAGAAACCAATGCCATAAACCCACTACAATCTCAATCTGGTTCTACGGCAGCCACAACCTTGGCCAGATTACCAAAACGTCTAAAACTATTAGATGTGCAAACCCTAGACAAAATGGGGCCCCAGGCAGTGCCAGAACTATTTGAAATCCCAGATATGTGGACATTAACCGCATGCAGCTAGAACGATTGGTATTGTTGCCAAGCAAACTGCAAAACCTCCAGAGAGACACAGAGCAGTAAGGAATTCGCATAGACTCGTGCGGAGAGGCCTGATCCAAACCACTCTACTTCTTGGGAATGTCCGCCTCGACTGGCTCCATAGTAACTGTTGGAAACGCCGTGAATTGTTGCTGATTTCCCCAGGAGCAAGAAGGTGCTGGGCGAAGGGAAGCAGATAACGACACGAAGAGAAATCTTCAAGAGCAACTCGAATAGCAGGGGAAGAGGTCCATAGCTCGAAGCAGGTGATCGAATGAAGCCGGCTGTGAAAGGGTGTCAACTGTCAAGTGGTGGAAATGGTGGTTGAGGAAGTGAGAAATGAAGAGCGAGATTGAGATTGAGATTGAGATTGAGAGAGGGGTGAAGAGGAAGATACAGATGGAGTGGAAGTGAGTTGGATGCAGAAGCAATGCTCTAATGGATTCCTCCAACACTTGGGTTGTGTTGAGGTGATGGAAGGAGTTGAGGATATGGTTTGTTACTCTTCTTCTGGACATCCTTGTGTGAAGAAGAACAAGAATTCTGACAACAGTTCATTCAAAAATTCAGATAAAAATAGGAGGATTGTAATCAGATCAAAAATTCATTCAATCGTATTACATTCATTTCACTTTTCAATTAGATACATATCCATTTGAATTTGACAACAATTACACGCTCATTCCAGTTAGCCAAACTAGTACCAGTGTGCCACAACTCATCTATTTTTGCTCTATAAATTACACAGAAGAACAAAAGAATTGACCAAAATTTCCTACCTAAAAACCACAAAAAAAACTGGCCCTCTAAATCTCCAACTCAGGAAACAATTCCTCCTTGAGAGAAGGGGCAATCCACTGTATCTGAATATAGGTAATCTCAAACAGATCATCATCTTCCTTCTGAACCAAAACCTCGTCTCCTTTCATCCTCGTAATCATCTTCTTCAAGAACCCTGGAATCACCTCCTGCAGCTTGGTCTCCCCATACACCCCAAGATCAGCCTTCATACAAGTATCCATCCTCCTCAACACGCCGAGCCAGAAGGTCCTGAACCCAGGGCTCGCCGCAATCTGCTTCAAAAACTGCAGATAGACATCGGTCAAGAGCTCCATCGCCAGCATCAACGTCCCTTCCATGCTCCTCACTTCCCTCTCCGCCCCTTCTCGCCTCGAGTACTCGATCATCTTCTCGTGCAAGTCGTCCACCATCGCAAACACCACAAGGTTGAAACAGTTCAAGCAGTTGGCAGGCGAAAAGTCCAGCTCCTGGGCCAGCTCGAAGCTCTTCTGCAGAGACTTGATGGCATGGTTCCTTATCTCCTCCCGCCTCGCCAGGCTGGTCTTCCTGAACGCCTCTCCCAGCTTTATGAACAGGTTGATTGAGAACGTGGACGGGCTGATGTCAGGGTTGCTCCCCGTGCTTGCTGTGCTGAAATTGGCGCTACTCCCCGGGTCGGAGTAGTTCTTGTACCAGTCGATTAGCAATGTGACTGATTCGGCTAACAGGTCGAGAATCTTCACGTTTTTCTCCAGGGGGCTGTTCTTCAGGGCGACGAACCCAAATGCACAGTCGATGCAGAATGCATAATTCGTCCTGGACACATGGGTTTGGTCGGAGATCAACATGATCAACGTCTCGACCCCCTGATCGTACGTCTCGAGATGGCGACCAGAGATCGATAACAAATGCAGCACCGACTTCCAGCCCAGAAAGCTCTGTAAGTTGGCTGGGTACTCGAACAGAATCTTGCTGACGGACTTGGTGATCGATTCGCAACACGTGTCGAGAATCTGCTTGTCGATCGTCCACATCAGGTTGATGGACTTGAAGATGAGCTCTTCTGGGAGCTTGTCGATTCTCGCCGAGGACAAGAGCTTCAGGCAGATTCTGAAGAGGGCGATGATCACCTTCTCTGCAAATGGGATTGGTGAAAACAGAGGGAAGTGGATCACTTCGAGCAGATTTTCGTGGTATGCTGGCCAGAAGTTTTGCAATCTGTTGATGTTGGCGAAGGAGAGGGCAGCGATTAGATCCCAGCAGAACTCGATGGTTTCTTCTTCCTCGACTGGAGTAGCGAATTTCTGACCTTTCCCCGCCGAGGCGAAGATTAGAGAGCGGCCGAGGTAGAGCAGAGTCTCGTCGGACAAGTTCCAGCTGTTGGTGAAAATGCTCCCGATTTGGCATTGCTTGATTACCTTCTGGTTCTGCTCGAATTCGTTCAGCCCGAGTTGTAACGATTCCTCCATGCTGTCTAGGGAGAGAAAGTGCGTGAATTTGCTGATCATGGAGGTGGAGCTCTGCTGCCGCGATCTCTGATCTTGAGAGGAAGAAGAAGGGAAAATTACTCCTCCGCCGCTGCCACCGCTTCCGTCGTTTCGAGACTGTTCCGAATCGGAGAACGAGCTGTCGAGCTCGATCACCGACGGTGGAAGAAGCTTGAGCTTCTTCAGCTTCAACAGGCAGTCCAAGATCGGCCTCCATGCTCCATGAATCGCGCTTCCGAAATTGTTCGCGATGCTGAACACTGCGAGCACGGCCATTCTGGGTTTCAGGTCGTGGCTGAACGCGAACAGAGTCTCTTCCGACGAGGCGTAAGGGTTCAGCAGAGTTGAGCATTTGCAGAGCGAGGCGATCATCTCGTCGAGAGTGTCTTCCAGCCCGTACTGAGCAATTCTGGCGACGGAGATCAGCGTCTCGACGCACTCGTGGAACATCTCGTCCTCGTCGGACTGTTCGAAGAAAGCCGTGAGAGCCGCCACCGCCGGGCCGGCGACGGAGGAGAACATGTCCCGCCCCAGCCGGCGGTCGAAATCACAGAGATGGAATGGTTGAAGCAACTTAGAAGCGCCCATCAGCTCGACCCATAACCCCGGGTTCATCTCCGGCTGACCGGTCTGACCGAAGAGCGAGATCGCCTTGCTGGCGATGGACTGGAAAAGCTCCGACAAGTACTCCCTCGGCAGATCCTGGCCGGCGTTGATCGCTCTGTTGTTCCGAATGAACTCTTCCTCCGTCATCTTCTTCTTCACTTGATGGTTGTGCTGGTCGGTGTTGAGCATGATTAGGGAGTAACAGAGGACAAAGACGGCATCTTTCCCGGCGAAGATGTCGGAAGGCTGCTGTTCGTAGAATTGCTCGGAGAAGGCCTCGAGAATCCTCTGGATCTTCTGCGACTCTCCGGGGAGCCTGAAAGTGGCCAGGTAGGTCCGAAGAGCCGTGTCGAGGATCATCCCGGAGAATTCAAATGTACAGGTGAACTCCTTGAGAACTTGAATGTGGAATTCATCAGGATCGCCGAGGTAATCTCCGATCATGGTCTTGTCCAACCCGGGGGTGAACCGGAAGAAGAAGGCGTAATCTCTCGGGTCCGGTGGGTCGGGGAACATCAGGCTTAACCGGAGATACTCAAGCCCTTTCTTGTCGTCTCGAGTGTAATGGTTTCCGGCGATCAGGAGCTTCCGCTTCTGAGCTTTCCTCGTTCGGAGGTACGATATGGAAGCTTCGCTGCCGTCGAGCGGCTTGTCCATCCAGAACTTGCTGTACTCCGTCAGGTGAACCGGGTAGGGACCCGAAGGGGTCGAATCGCCTTCTCGGTTGATGTTCTCCGCGATGTTGTGGATGATTCCGACGAGACCTTCGAAGGCTTGAGCTTGCAGTGATGGGGACGGGCTGGCCCCCGGGAACGAGAGCTTGCAGAGCAGCTTCGCGGTTTCCTCGAACACGTTGATGCAGAGTGGGTCGCAGTCGTAGTTCACGTATGCTTCGATGATGAAGGTCGGTTGCCTGCAGAAGTCGATGATTCCTTCGATCGCCACTTCCTGAAGCTGAGTTGAGATTCCAGCTGATGCCACTCGTAGTAGCACGAACTTGAAGAAGGCTTCCAACTGCAGTCGAACAAACCTGCAATTCCCACCAAAGAGAGAAACAACTCCCACTAGTCAAATAGTTATCGATTTTTCGTCATACAATTAGGCGTCTACACATAGATCAATGATCATAAAACCTTCATATTATCGTATGTACTCATACACCTGAATGAATCGACAAGAAGAAATGAAGAATCTCATTTCACCTTATGTTACAATCCACACGAAATTGATTACTAGAATGATCGAACCATAGGATGTACCCGATTTTTCGCATTACTAATTTGGTTTCGGACGAGAAAATGTAATCGTAATAGATAGTTTGGCTAGTGACTCAATTGTTCATTTAGAGAAAGCCAGAGTTCAGTGTTTCTGACCTGCGAAGGAAATGGTAAATGTTCAATACAGTGCTGCAGATCATGGACAAAACGAGCGGGCTGGAAGAAGTTCCATAATGAACCAAATGATGGAACAGATCGTCCTGGATCATCCTCAGGAGCTTGGGATGATCGCCAATGGCGTCTCCACTCAGCTCGATCGCCGAATTGATCAGAACCAGGGCGAAAAGCTGAACATCCTCATCCGAAGTCCTGTACAGATTCCCTTCGCTCTCCACAACTTCCACGACATTGAGCAGCGAGCAGAGGAAATGGAAGATATCCACGGCGCACCGGATCCCATACCCGGAGTCCAAGTTCCCGTCGAAATCGGCGTCGTCGATGTCCGTCTCCGACTCCTGGTCGGGGCTCACCTCGATGTCCTGCAGCTTGGCGAAGATCATCCGCACCAATTCGTGCATCGTGTACCTCGCGCTCCGCTGCAGCAGGTCGCCGCGGCTCGCGGACTGCTGGACGACCTGGAAGCAGGCGTTGACGACGGTGCAGACGGCCTGGTCGGTGAGCAGGACGGCGGCCTGGTGCCTCATGATCGCCGTCAGGATCTGCAGGATCCGCATCATGACGGCGTCCTCGGAGACAGGGTCGGTCCGCTCGAGGCGGCAGCCGGTGATCCCCATCACGACGGAGTTGATCGCGTCCCTGGCCCCCGTGGTGCGCTCGTCGAAGATCCCGACGTTGAGGATCTTGAGGACGGAGTAGAGGGCGATGGTGGTGGCCGCCGCGGGGATGTCGTCGGACTGGATCACGTCGAGGAACGGGGTGAGGTAGACCGCCGGGTCCATGGTCTGCCAGTCCTGCGGCGGGTTGAAGACCAGGGTTCGGAGGGATTTGAACGTGTGGACGAGCGCGGTGTCGTAGCTTTCCTCCTGGGAGAGGAATTGTGCCGCCATGGGGTCCGGCGGCGGGCGGCGGAGCACGGCGAGGACGGAGGCGACCTCCGTGTTGAGCATGCAGGAGATCCCCAGCCCGATCCTCTTCTTCTTGCTCTTCCGATTCTTCGCCGGCGGCTCCGCTTCCATCCCGTCCATTTTCTGTTTCCGGTGATCGGCAGATGAGAATTCTGAGGGAAAAGTGGAGAGAAATCAGTGGCGGGAACAGGAATCGTCTTTGCTTTCCATATTCGGAAAACGGATTAAACTGATCAGGATTGAAATTGTTAAGAGTGGTCAAAGGTTACTCATAATTGGCGGGAAAATTGGGTCACCTCTCCTACTGCATATTACACGGAGCATTGTTTTCTTTTTTTCTGTTTGGACCAGATTTTGCCAAGTGAGATTCCTGAAAGGGGAAACCGCCATTGATGCTAAGGTTTTAAGCTTTCTTTTACATCCCAAAACCAACTTCCCATGGTCAGCAGCCCCTTTAAAAAGCCAGAACATTGCTTCCCGCCTTCCCTTCTACACCCACCATTTTCCTCAGAGCCCGCCAGGGACACTCCTGACCTCGTGCCACAGGCAAATCAACGTGTCACGAACGTCGTCATCGACATCGCCATTCTCCAGCCCGAGCCTATTGCTCCTATCTCTGGCAGTATCCACGCTCATCAGGCTCCGCACCCACTCTTCGTGCAGGGTCGAGAACTCCGACCTCTGCTCGCTCGCCTTGAAGCTCTCTCCGACCGACTTCTGCATCCTGCGGGCAGCTCGGACGGCATTTTCCACCACGCTTTCCGGGATCCCGGCCATGAGCGCCACCTGCATCCCGTAGCTCTCCGGGCATGCTCCGGCTGCCAGCTTGTAGAGGAAGACCAGGTCCTGCTTGCTGCCTGTTCCGGAGTCTGTCGATTTGAAAGCGCAGGCCATGTGTTGCAGGGAAACGTGGGGGTGGGAGGCGAATTCCTTGGTGAGAGGGTGGTAGTGGGTGGCGAAGAGCAGTCGGCAGTTCACCTTTTCGACGAGATGGCGGAGCACCTAGAGGATGGAAAAATTGATATGAGACGCAAGGTGGAGTCAAGATGGAGAAACCTAGAGAGTTTCCTTGTACCGCAAGGTAATACTCACGGCGTAGGCGATGGCGTATCCGTCGAAAGTGCTGGTTCCGCGGCCTAGTTCGTCTAGAATGACCAGAGAGTCTTGAGTTGCGCTGTGGAGGATGGAAGCTGTTTCTGAGCACTCCACCAGGAATGTACCTTGACAAAAAAATGAAGACAAAACCGTAAGATAATTTGCACAGAACAGTGTTGAAATGGAAAAACGTGTTATGCTAGATAGAATCAGAGAACTCACTCTCGCCAGCCATGATTCGATCAGTGGCACCAAGCCGGGTGAAGATTACATCAACCAGCGAGAGCTCGCACTTCTCACTTGGCACGAAACAACCCAGCTGCGGATACAAGAGAGTGAAGAGACAATGTTAAGGAATGGCAGGGGATAGAATTCATGGCCTGAGCTTGCTTGATATTACTTGTTGAACACTCCAAAGTTTCAAAGAGTAGGGGTGAAATTTTGGTTTTGCTTTCAGTTATAACCAAAACCAAAAATCAATTTGCCACCCTTAAGAGGTGTTCAAAAGTTCTGAGAGTCTAGACGTTAGACGAACCTGTGCTAGTATCACAGCAAGACATGTTGATCGAAGAAGTGTTGACTTCCCTCCCATATTTGGTCCTGTCAAGAGCAAAGTGCGAGGATGAAAGCCAACCGGATCCTCCCCAAGGTACAGATCATTTGGGACAGGTTGTCCATTCTCTCCAAGAGCGAAAGGATGCCACAGCCCTTTAATCTTCAGCACAGGTCCCCCAGTGTCCTGGCCTAATGCTGTTGCTGATCGTGGCAAAATAAGGGGGCGAGACATCGGCCCGAATGATGTACTTGCTTTCAAGGCGAAAGATCGGAGTACATCGATGCAATTGATGGCATGGATGACTTCTGACCATTCTCTAGCTTTCTCGATGAACAACTCGGCCAGGACAGCAAGCGTCTCTGCCCCTGCATCAGTGACTTGATGATTCTGTCCAAATTTTTAAGTCAATGACATGTCAAGACATAGAACCAAGACTCAGAACTACAAGTACGAATTTAGTACATAATAGGAAGTTCCTGAGCAATGAAAAAGTTATAGTTCCAGAGAAAGGCTGTCGAATTCCCAAGAGAAATCCTCAAACTGAAGGGGAGCACACCTGGTAATCGGGGAACTCACTATCCACAGCGGCCTCAAATTGGGACAGAAACTTGTCAAGGCCAGAACTACCTTTGAGCTCAGGAGTTCTGATAACTTTACTTAGAGATGATTTTAGTTGCTCTTCATTCTGCAGCAATGACAATAAATCTATCGCAACACGTAGCCCTTTAACCAAAGTCCCAAATACTTTTACCTAGATAAGAGGTCAACATGTTAGAATTTACAGAATTCATCATTCTCAAAGTAATATTACATTCTGAAAGCTTAGATTTTGAGGACTACAGGATGGTGCAGGTTACTTACACGCTGTTTCAATATTTTTGTGCCAATTAAGGGCAGTATTAGACAGGATGATGCCTGAATGCTACCCTTAACACGTCCAAGCAGCCTCTCCAAATCCGGTAGTTTCCGCAGACATTGAGCAATGATAAGAGTAACTTCAGGACGAGCTATCAAAACTTCAACTGCATCGAGCCTATTATTAATGCCTTCAGCACATTTCAATGGATGGCAGATCCACTTCCTCAAAAGCCGTTTCCCGGATGACGTAACACAGTTGTCAAGATAGTTAAATAATGTACCTGAAGTTCAGATAAGTAGAAAACTCTATGAGTTGTTAGTTTACCAGAACAACTACAGTCAAAGAAGTAAGAAAAGGAGAAGTGATTGGAAGAGCAGACTTGCCTGATGAACCACCATCTGCATTATTACTAAAAATTTCAAGATTAACTAAAGTCTGCCCATCCATTTTAAGGCAACCCTTATAAACATCGTAAGGTAGAACATCACCATTGCGCAAAACATCATCTAACTGTACCCAAAGAAACACAAGTCAGCACAGCAGATAATGACAACACCTAAAAGCACGCAAGCTGAGGGGCTTGTTATTGTGCATACCTTCAGCCGAGAGAGATGACCAATAAGACCACCAAGAGCTGATAAGGCTAGGTCTTGGTGCATTATACTGTCAAGTGCACTATTCACTGGCCTAGAAGACCCTGTAAAGAAACCCTTTAACTGGATCAAATTTCTTACTTCAGAAGCATCCGCAAAATCAGTGGCAGGCAGTACAGGAGTCAACTGTGGTGCTGCTGGACCTGAAAATATAGGCAGATGTAGGGGAAACGGAGCTCAGTGCAATCAAATCCCTCTAGTTAAGCAAGAATCCATAACATATTCACCATATTGTTCAAGAAAGATAACTGATTGAGATCAACATGAGCCATGCCAGCAACACCTTTACAGGAAATCCAGAAACGTATAAATGGAAGACTGGAAACACAACATAAACTAGGGAGTACACCACATAATCTTTTCTGGCTACCCCCAACAAGCAACAAAAATAGATACACAGAAACAAGTTTCTAGCTCTGGGGCAGCCACAGTGCTTTTTGAGAGATAACTGCACGCACCAGTTAATGTGTACTTCCTCAGTGCTTTCTGGGCTTCTTTGGACAGCCCTGCATATTTTAAGGGCAGTAAGGATTAGGTAAAGGCTCAGTTTTACACTTACTTAGACAAATTCTTTGACTACACTTGGCTAACAATGAGCATTGGATGGATAATCATATAAGTGCACATCCGAAGTGGACAACCAAAGAAGCTCCGTCTATAATCTCCAATTTCCCCCCTGTCTGTATAAATTAACCTATTCAAATTTCATATTTTACTGAATTCAGCATCCAAGATGAACTGGAAAAAAACACATGTACCTCTACTTTCATGTATAACTTCTTTAGGTGAGATCTGCAGTAAAATAACAAAGAAGCCATCAGATTGTGTATTTGACAAGATTACCAGCTGCAGTGCAACAACTTTATGTCATTGGAAACGGATCATACTTGCATCAACAGTGCTCCCAAAGCAGAATAAGAAGCATCATCTTCTATGGAGCCAATCCAAAATCGAAGAGCAGCACAATCAACAAAAGCAAATCCATAACTTGTTGCATCATTATCAAGCCCATAATTTCCCTGATGACAATTCACAAGACGATTTAACAAGGCTAACAAACTGACTAATAGTGTCAGCTATAGTGGGTACTTAGCATACACCAGATGATAATAGAAGAATTAATGGAAATGCTAAATGGAAATGCTAATCCATAGAGTGCAATCCCGTTAAGATTGAATATAAAGAATTAATTAGCAAAACCATAGAATCATATAAGCTTTGCATCCTTAGGAAGTACAAAGAAGATGAATACCTTCATCGTGGAAAATTGCAGAGATGTTATTGTTCCTCTAGGACCAAGAAGACTGACAACAGCAGTCTCATTTATAGGTTCATCACGAAAAGCTTTACAAACATATGATTATGTAATTACCTCCTTGAGTGCAAGAAGATAAACGGCATCTGGCCCAATGATACCATCAGTTGTAGTTGATGGAGTAAGAACCTGGACTAATTTTCTGGTGATCACCTGTTCAACATCAAGGGTACAAATGATAAAAAAAAAAATCCAGGGAGAGAAGAGCTTAGAAATATAATATAGCGCTCTTGTAAATTAATGTGAATGTACCGAAGTTCGACCCCTGGCCTTTGCTTGATCAGATGTCTCCAACTGCTCCACTCTCCCAACTTTATATCTTGGAAACGATCATAGAGAAAACAAATGCACTCTCTCAGGCAAGAAAATAAGACATGCAGAATGATTGACAATAAGAAGCAATGTCATTTCAGTCAATTTAAGATCATGGAAAATAATTTTGAGTTCCATGAGGACATTTCTTTGTCTCCTTGTTAAAGCATTTCTACGCATTCCAAATGCTGATATTTGAATGCCAAACCTTGGCTGACAAGATTGTTGACCTATTTCTGTCTAATGAAACTTAAAGCAAGAAATCCACTCGCCCATGGGTCATGGGATCATGCAGACAATGTACAAAAAACATACCTCTAGGAATTTCTAATACTTTTAGTGCAAGATTTTGAATTTGCAAGCATGAAATCTTTTAATGAGTGATGAGTATGAATTTGTACTAATCAAGGAAAGTTAAGTACCAGCCACTAACGTGCAATTTCCCAGCAGTAACTTGCTAGACTGGAGAATTATCTTAATGACTTTATTTTACCTCGTGCAAGAACACATGCTGACTCATCCTTGGGCATAGACTAACCAAGAACATGAAAGAAATATGTGAACATAATTTCACAGAGTTACTGTTTTCCTACCCCCGAGCAACGAGTTTCTCTATAGCATCATCAATCCCAAATTCGGATATTCCAACCTGCGCTCAAAAAGTGTTATCATTTCTGAGAACGCAACTATCGAAAGTGGCTACAAACTTGAATTGAAGTATACACTTCATATGGAACTTACTTGCCGACATTTTCCAACACCACTGAATGTCATTTTCCAATCAAGCTCCCTGTGACCAATTTCAGCATCCAGCTCATAAAGCTCATAGAACTTCCCCTATTGTGGATGTAAAGTTGCTGAGTTTAGAACACCCAGGTTTATTAAGAAATCAACAGCCAGCACTCAGCCAGTAAGATGCAAAAAGGGACTTCAGATATACGGTTTGGTTATCATATAGATTTGGTTGAGACAAACACAATACAAAATCATGAAAGAGCAAACAAAATGGATTCTCTGCAAGGCTGCAATGAGCCAAAGTGTAAGGCATGTGGTGATAAGTAAAGCTCAAGAGTAAGCCACACCATGAACAACTGATACACATTGAGAAAGCATCAAACAAGTGAGATTAACTAACCACTTTAAAGAAAAGCAGAACATCCATGTACTCAGATTTGACAGTCCAGTATTGCTTCTGAGATGCCGACATTTTCTTCAGAGCATCAGGTGGTATGTAGAGCGTCTTTTTATCATAAAGAGGATGGTCAGGCCTTCTTCTATTAGCATCCCTAATTCCCGAAGGGTTAAGCCACTCAAACTTGCTAGCAAGATCATTACAAATCTCTCCCTGATTCTTCCCCTGGGCAGTGGACCCTTGCATAAGTTTAGCTCTCTTGCCATTATCCAGCAACGAACAATCATTCATATCACCTAACTTAGGAATGTCTTCATGAATTCGCTTCATTCGCCGAGCAAGCGGTTGCTCGTCAGGTGTCTCGGGACCCTGGACATCATCATCATCGCCCCTTCCAGAGGGCAAGACACCTCCTAACTTACTGGACTTAGCAGCACTATCTTTGACTGAATTCTCATCAATGGTTCCCAGTTTATGAAATCCTAAATTGCCTAATGATGGAGCTGAAGTCAAGCGAGCACCTCCAGAATCAGCCTGGTTCCTGCAATACCACCATCACCCTAAATCAACTCCAACACTCAATCCGCTCGCAAAATGAACACATTCAAAAAGATTAACAATCTCGCAGCAGAGCCAAACCCTAGGATGATTACTTTTTTTTGAAAAAACAGCAACGTAACACTGGCAAATGGCGAAGATAGCTCGCTCGTCAGGAGCTAACCTGTTTGGAACCCTAGCGAACTTGTGCATAATACTGGAGAAAAGCGAAGAACCTCCGCCGCCGGTACTCGCGGAGAAGTTCGCCGGTAGGATCGGGCGCGGCATCTTCTCCGGAGGTGTGCCGGTTCCTGTGACATCATCGGATGAGTTCGCCACACGCTGACTCGGAAGGCCGGGTTGGAGATTCCGCTCCTTCGCCGAAACAAGCGACGGCGGGTGACCGTGAGCTACGTCCTCGCGGCCGGAGCTCCGATTAGCCGTCGAGGACTTCTGGAAGAAAGCGTGGAGCGATTTCTGCCGCTGCATTTTTTTCGAATAGGAAATCCTCCCGATGTTGAAAGAGGTGGAAACTGAAAAGCTTCTGATATACGAAGTGGGAAATAAAGAAAATTTTGGCGCCAAAATCCTCTGCCTCGCAATTCCAATTTCCCGCTGCCGATGACGAGGGACGAGAGGAGGGCTCCGTAAGATTGTGAGCTGGGGTTTTCCCAGTCGTCAATCCACACCGTTCGATTTTGGTGCCACTCATTTTGACTTTTCAACGCGATACTTTCTAATATTGACGTGGCAGGATTGAGTCCAGGTGTCGATACAGTCAGCCAGAGGGTCCTGCCAGTACGCCACTTCACCATCAATCTCCACCGTTGGATTTTCATTACAATTGTTATCCGATTCGGCCCGGTTCAAACCTCAACTCGGACAACTCGCCCCTGTTTGGTGATATTGTAGAGTTTGTTTGTTGTTTGTAATTTATTCAGCTTGGTTGAAATGAGAAATACTCTGCTGTAAATGTTTTGATAATACATGGAAAAAAGATGTAAGCATAGCATAATAATTTTGCTTATTTGGTACCGGTAAAATGAAAATCGCCATTGTTTGAAACTCTAAAGGAAACATTTTCCATAACCAAATGGATGGATTGATGGATTATTAGGGTTTGTTTAAAGCCATGGAGAATTGTAGATAGGAGTGACGACAGCTTTGGTCTGGAGATACTTGTGAAGGGCTTCCATTCCAAAATCTTTGCCGAATCCGCTCATCTTGTAGCCTCCAAAGGGGCAGTCAATGTCGAACCCATGGTAGCAATTGATCCAAACGACGCCGGCTTTGATCGATCTCGACACCGTGTTCGCGATGTCCAAACTCTTCGTCACGATCCCTGAAGCAAGGCCGTACTTCGTGTTGTTTGCATACTTGATCCCTTCTTCTATCGTCCTGATAATCAAAACAAAAAAAAAAAAATTAAAGAAAATATCGGTTTAGTGTCGTATGTTCTGGGTTACTTGTGCGTCTTTGAGTTAGGTGCATTATGCTTACTTGAACTTCATTAGAGCCATCACTGGTCCGAAGATCTCATCCCTGGATATCATCATGTCTTCCTGCAGAGTTTGTTGGTATTGGATTTTTGAAACATCAGTGACAAACAAAATCGAAACTTGGACAATTCTGCCCATTAGTCAAATTACGACCTACGAATCAATCAGTTGAGCGAGTTTCAAACCTTAACATCAGTGAAAACAGTGGGCTGGATGTAGAACCCTGTCTCGGCAGCCGGCTTGCCGCCAGTTAATAACGTGGCTCCTTCTCTCTTGCCGTGCTCAATGTAAGACAACACTCTTTCAAATTGTGTCTTGTTGACCTATAATACAACATGAGTTCGAGTTATGTTTCTGGTTTGCGACCAAAACCAAAAATAATGTGTCGATTACGTTACATATAGAAAATTCGTTTTAACGCCTTTTATCGGTTCAGTTTCGGGTTAAATCGAAATCTAAATCCGGGTAGTAACCACCTTACCTGAGGTCCAACACGAGTCGTGGGATCAAGCGGGTCGCCGACGGTCCATTCCTTCGCCTTCACCGCCAATTTCTTCACAAACTCGTCGTAGATCCCTTCTTGAACAAACACACGGGACCCCGCCGCACAAACTTCTCCCTGCCGAAGTAATGAATCACAAGAACGTCCCTTTCCCGGCAAAAAAGGGAGCTAAAAGGGGAAACAAAGGACTCACCTTGTTGTAGAAAATGGCGAGGAGAGCAAGATCAACAGCCTTGTCCACGTCAGCATCGTCGAAAATCAGCACCGGCGATTTCCCACCCAGCTCAAGCGACACCGGCTTCAAATTGCTCAGCGCCGCCGCCTGCATCACCTTCCGGCCGACCTCCGTCGAGCCAGTGAAGCTCACCTTGTCGACATCCATGTGAGCCGAGATCGCCGCCCCGGCCGTGGCGCCGTACCCGACCACCACGTTCATCACTCCGTCGGGGATTCCGGCCTCCCTGGCGAGATGGGCGAAGAACAGGGCCGAGAGAGGGGTTTGCTCGGCGGGCTTCACCACCATCGTGCAGCCGGCGGCGAGGGCGGGCGCGACTTTAGAGAAGAACAGGGTGCAAGGGAAGTTCCATGGAATTATATGCCCGACGACTCCAATCGGCTCGAGCAGAGTGTACCCGTGAAGCTCTCTGGACATTTTTAGCACGTCGCCGTGGATTTTGTCCGCCGCGCCGGCGTAGTACCGGAGAAGGTTCGCCGCGAAAGGGATGTCAGCCATTTTGTTGAAGGTGAACAGCTTGCCGGCGTCGATGGATTCCAGTCCGGCTAATTCGTCCGCGTTTTGGTCTATCAAGTCGGCGAATTTCGACAGGACTCTGCCCCTCGCCTGGAGAAAAAAAACAGAGCATCCGATTTTGGGTTAGACATCAAGAAAAAAAGAGGAGAAGAAGAAAAGGAAAGTCAGAGTCTTTGCTTACGAATCCGGACATTCGAGGCCATGGGCCGTGATCGAAGGCTTGTCGAGCTGCTGCGACGGCGAGATCCACGTCAGCGGAGTCGCCTTCGGCGACTCTGGCGATTACTTCCCCTGTTCTTGGCGATATTGTCTCCAATGTTCTTCCTGTTGACGAAATGAATGAATTGATTATTTCCTGGTGGATAAAGAACAAATGGAAAGAATAAGAGGGGGAGTGGAGATGGAGAAACCTGAAACTGCGTCGACGAATTGGCCATTGATGAAGAGCTGGGTGAACTTGATCGTGGGGATGAGGTTGGAGAAGGAGCTGGTCTTTCCGTTGCTGATTTCTTCACTGGTTGCCATTTTCAACTTCTGGGTCTGTAATTGTTTGGGAAAGCTCGGAGCTCTGTAGCGGTGGTATTTATGGACATGGAAGGGATGATGACGACGAGAAGAACGGAGGTGATGCTTAGATAGACTGGTAGAGTTGCAGACGGCTTCTCCGTGAAGGGGCTTTTGGTTAAAGCCAGAAAGTGGATGCTTTCTGAGATTTCAACGGGATTTTTCCGTCGTTAACTGTATTACACGACGGAACCTCGCTGGCGTTTCCCGTTGTTTTTGTCTTTTGCCGTTCTGATGAGCAGTTTCCCGGCCGGCCACATAAGTTTCCTATATAGAAAAAGAGAGTAGGGCAGCAGGTTCCAATTTGTTTCTCGTTTTTATCATTCATTTGTTGTAATTAAATGAGGTTTCTTTAATTAAAAAATTAGGATTCATTGTATTCGATGGTCCATGTTTTACTTTGGGATTATTGAGGAACCTAAATTTGTCGATGTTCAATTTATTGTAAGAAGAACTCATAGGCTCGGACAGCAATTTAGTTCACATCCGATCGAATCTAATCGTTCGTCTTTCGATTTGGGAACTTTTAGTTTTGGTATGGTTCAGACCAAAACCATAAAATCAAACTAATAATAACTCGATCGAGACGTAATTAAATTAATTTCTTAATATATCATTCTCCACGAAAGGCAAGTCAACTTGCAATTCTAAACCCTAGTGCCTAGACTACACATGACTAGTTATAAATTTGGTTTTATTTTCCTATAGGAATCCTTGAATCGCCGCTCCTTAGTATTATCATCACACTAGTATTCTCGTTGAATACGAATACCATTGTTGATGAGATTACGCATGTAACAACTTTAATAAACGAGATTGTTCATGCTGACAATATTATCTAATTTTGCGAGTGAAAAATTTTCGTATATGGAATCAGACTTGTGTGATGAGACACTTCTTGAGTATTTTGGTAGAAAAAGGATCTTTTTGGGTAGTATGGATAAAAAGTTATAGACTTAAAACAAGACCAATTTGGAATGTTTCCTCCGCTTCTACATGCACATGGATCTGGAAGCGAATATTGAAATGTCATTTGTTTCTTTCTTATGCATTCTACAAGAATTTTTTTACAATAAATTGTTTGCACTTCAGTAGTGGAACTAAATTTATAGTACACTTTACAGAGTACCCGGGAAAGGGCGTGTTAACCGTCAACCAATTCATCGAGTCAGATTAGTATAGATGGTACATAGTTTAGGCCAGTATATGTATTTCATAAACCACATATCAAACTAGTCTTTTTAAGTAAAGTTCGAACCAATTAAAAATATTAATACGAAGATAAAACAAAAGAAACAATCAAACAAAATAAACATCTTCCAAACTTCAGCATCAAACTAAAGTTTCCCCCCTTCTCTCAATAGAGAGAATGAAGGGAATCAAATTTGCTTCATCTCTTTTTATAGGGAATGCACAACTGCAGTGGGTGTAGCTAGATCCATCCTCACAGAAGTTCATAGAATGTAAGCTGTAATATAGATCATTATTCACAACACAATTACACATTTTTTATGAATTGTATTACTTGTCCTATCCATAAACCAAAAAAAGTTTAAAAAAACACCATGTGTTGTCTCCCCTGTTTTCCCTTTCTCTCCTTAGCTACAGAACCCTCATTTCCAAGGCAAACCCACCTTCCATGAATGATCCATTGTATGATTCATTGCCAAGGAGAGTTGTAAAGTGGAGTGACCACAGATTTAACCTGGAGGTACTTCTGAAGACCCACCATCCCTTCATCCCTCCCGAACCCGCTCGATTTGTACCCTCCGAAAGGGCAGTCGTTGTCGAATGCGAAGTAGCAGTTGATCCATATCACTCCCGCCCTGATCGATCTCGACACCGTGTTCGCTGTATCCAAGCTCTTCGTCACGATCCCTGCCGCCAGCCCGTACCTCGTGTTGTTTGCAGCTCTTATCCCATCTTCCATGGTTCTGTGCTCATCCACATTGGGGGGAAGAAGAAGAAGAAAAAAAAGATACATCATACATCAATGCATAATGACCAATTCATCAATTACAAGTTAATTAGCTTGGAAAAGCTTTACTTGAACTTCATTAGCACCATGACTGGGCCAAAGATTTCGTCCTTCACTATCATCATATCATCCTGCAATTCATTCGACACAGTACACGCGAACAGAAAAAATTAGGGTTACCGATCTGGCTGAGTCGCGGACTAGGGTTGTTATGCGCTTT